GGCCTCTTCTTCGTTGGTTTCCCTCTTCTGTCATGGTTTCTGTTTTTGCTCTTTTCTCTTTTGCTTTTCATTTGTAATACCGGCGCCATTTCGGTGCGTTCCTTCTTACCAAAATTATGTGCACTTATTAGGTGAGTTTTCGAGAAGAAAAAAACGGACATTTCTCCAAAAGAGGAAGCTCAGCCTTCCTCTAACCAACTAAGATGACCTAAATGTCAGGCTTAATTAATTTATGATTTGAAAGGCACCTACAATGAGCAACTTTGCTTATGATCCAGGGCAACGGTTATCTGTCTTAAGCACTCAATGATCACTTTGTACCAGATTAATTGATTGTTAATTATATAGATGAAGCTTGAAGCATCCACCTACTATTTCTGACCTGCACATTGGTCTCAGGCTACAAACTAAACCGAACCCAGACTAATGAGCACCACACTAAAAAAATTAGTAACACCAGAGTCTGAAATCAGGAAAGCCATGCCCAAGTCTGAACTTTTTGCCCACATCTTTGCTACCTTGCTGAACTGAACTGTTCTGCAATATTTTGTGAATGAATTATCACCTTTGCATGGAGTGAATTCTAAACCCTTGGGGGTCCATGCACGTGTTGTTCTTCTTCATCACGCATGATGGGCTAGGGCTAGCTGGTCCTCGAGGAGCAATAACTCCAGTGTCTTTCCCTGCTGTTTCTTCAACAACTTGATGCCCCTCATATGGGGCAATGCAACCTGCAGAAATGCATGGCAGCAGTGCGGGCATGGAGCCCCCACCCCAGGCCCAGGGGTAGTAGGTAGCTGGCTAGCGAGTGCCCTTGATGGTCGATGCCCCCTCCATCGAGCACCTCCTCCGTTTCATCGGGAGACTGCAATGCAGTACACCGTTTTCATCACTTCTGGAAAATGAATTTGAGCAACGCAATGGATTCAGCTGTAAATATGTGTACTTTTTAGTAGTACATGTTATAGTTGGATTTGTGTACTTTGCTATTAATTTAACCAAAGAATGTACGTGGCACGTAAACCGCCTGAAAATGACCGCACAAGGCCGGAAAGTTGTTGAGTGAGTGACATATCACATGAGAAAATGACTGCATGGGATAACCTTGAACCAGATGCAAGTCAAACGGCTAGGCCAGCATGACGCAAAAATCGAACTGCCTTGACAGGCACTTGATGCATGGTTAATTAAGGTATTACAGCCTCAAGAAGTGAGCTATGGTCTCCTCTAGCCTCTTTGTTTACTCAGAGTTCAAAATGCAAAAGAATCAGCACAACTCAACCACTACTGTCCTCTTCTTTCTTGGCAGCGCATGCAGCACCATCCAGTCAGTCCAGGGGCATCGGACCCGGTAAACAAGCCAAGCTTCATTTTCCTCATGACCATTGTCAGAGATAGTTAATGAAGCCCCAGGATAAGCCAAAAACAATATGTAACGAGCTTAGGTTAATTAGTCTACTCTTGTGTGCCACTGCTTAAGAATAACACGTCAGAGTTCGGCCCCTTGCATTGCATGCACTTGTGTCAACTAATGTGCAAGTCGGGGAGAGAGCAGATAGCTAAACAAATGCGTCGCGGATTTGTGACAGAGATATGAACCATGAGCGCGAGACAGGGGATCCGATCGACCCCTAGATCCGTGCTTAATTTTCTCCTAAGTTCCATTAATGCATGGCACCCTTGGTTTCCCTATGGAGATTAGGTAGGATTAGCGGATAAAAGATTCAGACACTGACAAATCGCTAGCCACATGCTATGGAGTTTTTCTTGCTGATCACGCGTCTGTTGAAATCCATGGGACCAGCTAGTACGCATGCTTCATTTTAAGAACCCGTCCTACCTCGAAGTTCTAAGAGCAACTTTAACGGGCTGACCTAAACGAACGACGATTTTGTCAGTTTTTTGTTTGTTTGAGTCGGTCAAGCAGACACGGACGTCCGCTTCCGCGATTGGATCGGCGCGTACGCCCAACGCTGGCCCGATCATTTTGACGACGCTAGAAAAAAAGACACATGCACATTTAAAAAAACAATATTAATTAAACATTAAAGCCGCTCACGAAGGCCCACGAGAGTCCACGCGTCCACATTAGTATTTAAGAAAAATAAAAACAACCAACCTAAACTACGAGGCGGCGCGTAGTCCTAGACGTCGTCATCGTCCTCCTTCCTTGGGGTTGGTGAGGTCGATGAGCGTCGGCGCAGGGCCGGCCCAGGGGAACGCCGTGTTCCAGGCGGCGGCGATGTAGGCTGAGGGCAGCTGTTTCGGCGCGGGCAGTGCCGGCGCGGGGGGTTGTGCGGCCACTTGTGCAGTTGCGGCCTGGCGCGCCTCCTCCTCAGCCTCGCGCTACTCCTCCTCGGGGTCGCGCTCGAGCATCTCCTCGTACTCGCCGCGACAGTGCTCCTCGGCCAGCCGTCGCTGGCGCCACATCTCGAGGTAGGCCGCCTCTTGCGTCGGCGTCGCCCTCATCCAAACCGGTGGCGCGGACACCCACTCGCGCAGTACTCCCGTCCAAGAGTAGCGCTCGATCGGGAACGGCTCCGGCTCGGGCTCCGGCTGCGGCTCCGGGTCCGCCTTGACACGCCGTCGGGAGGGGATGGCGGGGCCACCCGCGGCGCCACGCAGTCGCTGGCCGCGGAGAGGGCAATGGCCCGCGCCATGGCCGCCTCGTACCGGGCCACCTCTTCCTTCGCCGCGTCCACCCTGCACCGCTCGTCCTCCTCGCTCTCGCGGTAGACCGTTGCAAGGGCCGCCTGGTAGGCGCCCTCCACCGCCTGGTCCTCCTCGCTGACGACGAGCGGGGGCTGCGGCAGGCTGCAGTCGACCTCGCGCACGCCATGGCGCCTCGCCTCCTCGTGCTCGAGGCGAACCACCGCTTCCAGTTCGGCGAGTCGATGGCGTAGGTGTCACCGCGGCGCTGCTCCAGCGTCAGCAGCGCCCGCCGGCGCCGCAGCTCCTCCGCGTGCGCCCTAGCCGACCGCGGCACCACCGGCACTGGGATCCTCTCTGGATTCAGATGCCACTCGTGCGGCAGTGTGAGGTCGGGGTACGACAGAGGCACGCTGTGCTGCCAGTGCCACTCCGCCTGGTGCACTGGCACGTTCACGCGCTGCCTCTGCCGGCGAGCCGGTGCTGGAGGAGGCGGGAGGAGCTCCGATGGAAAAGGGACGGCGGAGGCCTTGCTGCCGCCGGCGCCGGAGAAGAGCCCCATCTCACTGTGGTGGTGGTGGCTAGGGTTTGTCGGCGACGGAGGAGCAGAGTTGGCTAGATGTGGACGGCGAGTTTGGATGAGGACGGTCTCGCCGCACGGTCGGCTTAAAAAGGACGACCGCCGTCGCTGACGCGTGGGCCCATGGTCATAAATTAAGCTGATCGCGTGGACAGCGGGTAGTTGGACGGCCGCCGAGAAGACGCGCATGGCGTCCGTTCCGCGTTCGCGTCGACCTATTTGAGGCACAAATTTGGACCGCAAATGCGTCGGCACGGACACGAACCAAACGTGATTTGAATTTAGATCGACGTGTTGGGCCGTCATTTTTGTTCATGCCTACCCAAACAGATGCAAACGGATGAAGGGCCTGTTCGGTAGCCTGCCAGCTCCAAGATTCCGCAAATCAGCGAGCGAAGCTGGCCCGAACGGCCCGGCTCCAAGAAGCTGGCTTCCAGGATCGTAGCAGTGTTCACGTACAAAAACCTGGAGCGACTGTTTTGGCGATCCCAGGAATCGGGAATCCTGGAGTTGGCCTTATTTACAGGCAGATGCCACCGCCAAGTGATTTGAGGGTGCGTATCGGTTCGCTGCTTTCTCTCTCCCTTCTCACGTCATGCTCTATTCTCTTGACGAGGCTATGTGGAGACATCGCTGCCTTTCCTTCTGAACCGGGCCAGGCCCAGCCACTCTCCTCCAGCGTTCAACCAGGCCTAAGGCCACCTTATCTATTGAGCCGGCTGGGCTCTAGCCCGTCCAGGCAGTTTGGCCTGCTCGCGCCTACAAGAAGCTGGAGCGAGGGTGCCGAACAGTTTTCATCGATCTAGTTTTCGTAAAAGAAGCAGCATCCGGAAATGGAAGCGGGATTTGTGGATCCAGTGAAGTTGGAGGGCTTCCGAACAGGCCCGAAATGTGTCGCTTCTTTGGAGCTGCTCTAAATTTCTCAAAAAATCATCGTACTATGAAGTTTTTCTTACTGACGATGCGTCTGTCCTAATCCACAGAACGATCTATAGCGTGCTGTGTGCATAGGTAAGTATTCGTCGTACTTCGAAATTTTATTCCAGTTTTCTCTAGAAGTCATCATTTCTCAATCAGAATTAATCTAAAATGCCCCACAAAAATAATAATTAATCCAAAGCTGTTGTATAAACTATAAACCATTCTCTATTTTTTAGTTTTTGTACAAACCATTCTACTGGTAAAAAAGGAAGCCATGATGTATCTTGTACGGCTCAGGCAAGGGAAGGGTGATATCAGCGGTGTATATTCGATTCACTCTGTTTGTAGTAGTGTCGCTAGGTGGTCTGCATATCTCAATGTATTTTTTGGTGTTTGTTGTACTGTCATGATTGATGATAAATAGATAAAAAATTCTCTAAAAAGACATATGAAAGTATTATGTAAACTATATAAACTATAAAAACAACTCGCAAGGAATGACAATACTTTATTGTATAGTAAATAGACTGAAAATATTCATTTGCATTACCTCACTCTTCATTAGGCTGGACAACAAGAACACATATTTGCAGTACACAAGCCTGACACGACCAAGTAACCGTATACATGCGCGTATATACGGTTGCATATACAAATACACCACCACATAATATTACTCGTTATGTTTACACTTTTCTTCCTTGCCATGCATGACATGGAAATGACACGTACGTAACGCAGGTCAAGTACATTTATACTAGCACAAAATGCAAACCACACCCCGGGTATTTAGAAAATTAAACATGCCACACTGCTACTTTCTGTAGCCAGGACAGGGCTCCTGTCCTCTCTAGGCCATCGCGCTGGTGGCTCGGCCGCCGGGCTTGTGGCCCACGACGGTGGCCAGCGCGTTCCGGACGGCCACGGCGACGCCGCAGCCCTTCACCACCCTCCTGTCGCACTCTCGGTCCGTCCCGAAGCAGCTCGACGGCGCCGCCGCATCCTCGAAGACGTCGCCGGCCGAGAACGCTCGTCGGTGGGCGCCTGCGGAGCCCCGTGCAGCGAAGGGCGAAGACTGCACCGTGAACACCGGCGACATGGACGATGCGGTGGACGACGAGGACGACCAGGAGATGGAGGAGGAGGAGCACGGCGACGTCCTGCGCCGGGGCCTCCGGAAGAGGGCGATGACGCCGCCGGGCCAGCGCCTCCCGGACGCGCCGGCGCCGCCCCTCTTGGAGCCGCCCTTGCCGCCGGCCGCGTAGTAGGAGGGCGGCGGCGTGAGAGGCGGGAGCGCGGCGGCGGAGGGCGAGCTCTTGGGCGTGCCCGGCTGCGACTCCCACAGGAAGGGCACGGAGCCGGCCGAGGCGACGCCGTAGTACACCCGGAAGGACGGGACGGCGATGGCTACGTCCTTGGACAGCATCCTGGAGTAGAGCTTGGTGCTCCCCTGCTGCTGATTGACGCGTTTGTCCGGCCCCTCCTCCTTGCGCGTGGTGTTCGCCATGGCCGGCAGGAACGACGCTGATCTCTCCCTAGCTAGCTGCTTCTTGGCTACTGGAGTACGTACTAGTGTACTACCCAATTAGAGAGAGGGGTAGCTAGAGAGAGAGAGAGAGAGAGAGAGAGAGAAGGGGTGTGTAAAGGGAAGGAAGGAAGGAAGGGAAGAAGGTGCGAGCCAGTTGAGAAGGAGAGGCTGCAGGGCAGTGGCACTGGCATCTAGCCAGCTATGGCAATTATATATCGCCGGGGTGGGTAGATCAGCTACTCCCTCCGTTCGGAATTACTTGTCGCGAAAATGGATGTATCTAGATGTATTTTAATTCTAGATACATCTATTTCCGAGACAAGTAATTCCGAACGGAGGGAGTAGATGCCGGCCATGCTCCGCCGGGGCCCAGTGTTCCGGCTTCGACCCTGGAAAAGAACGGTCACGATCGCCATTCGTGTCGACCGTGGTTTATATCTGAGTGAACTGAGTTTAGTTTCGACTAGATATTATGTATGTCACCAGCTGCAGGTCTACACTAGTTATTCGATCCTACTGTTATTTTCAAGAGTTGCACTTTTTTTAACACCTATTAGCCTACGAATATCCGGTGCACTTGACACAACGCTATCATCAACCATTTTTTAAAACATACTTTCTCTCGTCCCATAATATAAGAATGTTTTTGACACTATAGGACGGAGAGAATAGTATAAATGCAGACATTTATATATACGCACAAACACTTATTCCTGTGAAACACACACATTCTACCTCTATGAACGTCTTCGAGAAACTGAGCCGACATACACATCAATCATTCTAGGTCATGGCGGCTCCAGGAATTTGCAACCGGGTATTCATCTGTATTCATTTTGCCAAAATCATTGTTGTTTTTCAAAAAATATCACTGTTTTGCCAAAATCAATAGGTATTCACCTTAAGACCCAAGAATACCCCTAGTGCCGCCCCCTAGATAACTTAATTACTGATGAATGCATGTCATTCAACCATTGATAGTAATGTAGTAGTACATGTGAAGCATATATATAAGGGCTCACACGAAAAAACATTAATTTGTCATGGATATACTTTAGTAGAAAATTAAAAGTTTATATGTTTCAAAGAGATCTATTGCCGACCGATCTGTCTACCTCGTGCTGATCTCTGCCCCGGGAGAGAAAGAGAGAGTGGCATAAGAGACGAGCTGACCTTTGCCGTTGTCCAACAAGCATTTGACACGGCATTGCTGGTGGACATAATTAAAGGTTATTGCGTGCATATGCAAACAGGGACATGCATGCATACATGGCGGCCCGCTTACGTAATGATCCTGGTATAAGATAAACTCCAAAATGAGAAGATGATGAAACCCCATCAAAGACATTTACTCTCCACTTTGGTTCCTGGAGAAACAGTCCACTATTTTTATCGCTAACCTTAGCCAAAGAAACAGGCATTCCAAACTCGATTATTTAGTAAATCAGCAGTTTTTAGCTTCACTTCTATACGTGTTTATCATGCAATCATGTTAGTGTTTTGTTAGCCCACTCTATCTCTACTCATTTTGTACTTAAAAAGAACGTAAGATTTTCATTTCGCTCTTTTTTTGTCCAACCTCTCTATGTATGTTCTCTCATCCTCCCTGTTTCAATCTTTACACCTCCTATCTTTGGAGTTATTTCCCACTGTTTTTCATGAAAACCGTCTTAACTGATCCACATCTTATTATTACACCAAATAAAATCATGTTTTCTATTGTAAGCCAATGTGAGCTTACGAAATAAAGTCATTTTTTTTATACACAATCAAATTAGCAATCCACCTTTGGTTCCTGAAGAAAAATCCACCTTTTTTATTTTTATCGCTAACCTTAGACAAAGAAACTGACATATGTAACTCCATTGTTTAACCAGGAACGTCGGTTAGAAGAAATGGTACAATTAATAAATCAATAGTTTTTGACATCACTTTAATACATGTTTATCGTGCAATCATGTTAGTGTTTTCTTAGCCCACTCTATTCTTATAAAAAAATAAAAAGAGCGTACGATTTTTGTTTCGCTCTTTTTTTTCAAACCTCTCTCCTCCTCACCCTCTTCCCAGTTTTGATTTTTTTTACCCTTTTTTCTTAGCCCGCTTAGCTTCCGTGCCCAGAAAGACTTCGACTATACTATAAAAAAAGAGCTAGATGATCTGTTATCAAGTGAGTAGAAAGGCAGGTCTAGAATGCCGTTGGTAAGCCCAAGTCCCTCACCTAGAGTCATCATCGGATTTGTCGAAGGAATTGCAAGAAACCACCATATTTGCGGCTAGGTTTGCAGGAAACTATCAACTCGTTAATCTGTTGCAAAAAACACCGAAAAATCTGTTAAGTCATTGCAAAAAGCACTGATCAAATTATTTGATCTGTTTAATCACTTTCTTACAAGTGGGTCCAGATTGTAAGGAATTGATTTAACAAAAAAATAACGCATACATCCCTAGATTAAAAAAACAAAAGCAATCAGCCCCCGGTGGAACACCGACGCCCTGTCCACTCCGCGCTGCTGCCCTCGTCGAGGAGGCGGCCAGCCTCGTCGGCGAAGGAGAGGGCCACGCCTCGGGGAGGACGAGGAGGCGGTCGGCGTCCACGGCTGCACTGCGAACCGCCTCCATAGCACGCGGGTCGTGATGGCGACGCCCTCCGGCAGCCCCGCGCCTCCGCCGCCGCGCTGTTGCAGGAGCCTGTGCTGCGCGCCGCCGCGCCGCTTGCGCTACTCGCGCCCGAGCTGAGCGCGGATGCGTTTTGCATCCTGCCATGGCGGCTCGCCTTTGCTTGCTCCCGCGTCTTCGCGCCGCTTCCGCTGCTCGCGCTCGAGCTGAGCGCGGCCAGCGCGGCTTGCCTCCGCGCCGCCGTGCCGCTGTAGGAGCCTGTGCTGGGCGCCGCTTCCACCGCTCGTGCTCGACCTGAGCGCGGCTGCGCTTTGTGTCCAGACACGGCGGCTCGCCTCTGATTGCTCCCGCGCCACCGCGCTCGCGGCCGCACCGCCGCCTCGCGGTCGCGCCGCCGCTGCTGCTCGTGGCCGTGTCGCCGCGCTTCCGCCGCTGCTCGCACTGCTCGCCCAGGCCGCGGCGGCGCTGGCCTCCGGTCCCGATTGGATCAGCGAGGAGCGGGCTCGAGCGCGCCGAGGCGCTGGCCGGCGCGTGCGTGTGGGGGCAGGGTGGGGGTCTGATTGCTTTTGATTTTTAGATCAGGGGGTGTGTGTTATTTTTTTTGCTATGTCAACTCCTTACAATCTGGCCCCACTTGTAAGAAAGTGATTAAACGGGCCAAATCATCCGATCAGTGCTTTTTGCAAGGACTTAACAGATTTTCCGGTGTTTTCTGCAACGGATTAACGAGTTGGTGGTTTCCTGCAAACCTAGCCGCAAATGTGGTGATTTTTTGCAATTGACTCATCTACAGGAGTCGAAAATGAAGTAGGTCCAGGTATGATCAAACCCTGTCGTGAGCCAGTGCTTGAACCGTGGTTGAGGCTGCTGATGCCTCTTAGATTAGCGAATAGACCCCCCTAGGATTGTTGGCCTAAGCGCCCTCTTGGACTCGAAAGAATAGTGGGTGTAGGCTTCGGTGGAGTTCCAGACCTGGCCCACCTCTTATCTTTGTTTTGTTTCAAGGCTGGCTAGGAGTCAGGTGACTGAATTTAGATTTTGGGTCAATCAATTTTTATTTCTTTAATAAAAATGACATTCCTATTCCAGTTTATTGGGCTGATTTCTTCACTGCCAAACTGCTATCGCCAGGGGATTTTGATTGGGCAAAAGGCATATTACAGTCCAAATTATGGCAGCTAATTCAAGAGGGCAGTGTTGCTGGAGAAGTCAAACAATTGGTAATCCCAAATGCCTGCCCATCAAGGGATCCCCCCACTTGCTATCTTTTTTTAGCGGGATAGGCTATCACTCAAGGTTACTCTACTGCACAAACCCTTAGATCAACTCCTATTACACACGTTGAGCATTTTAGTACCTCTGTTGTGCACCTGAAGAGAAAATAGAACAAGACCCCAATTCTGGTTACAGAAGTCAGGAGGAGTGATAGGCTCAAGCTTCTTGCAAAGGGATGCAAGGGAAAGACACGTATTGATAGAAATTGTCTTGCACGTGCTCCTCGTGCCGCTGCATTAAATAAAAAGGTGGTGAAATGTCTGCATGAAAATTTTGGAATGGCTGAGAGCAAGCCAACAGGTATGAAGAGGCAAAAGATCTCCACCAAAAATCTGATGATGATGTAAAGAGCAATAAAAACACAAAAAAATGCAAAGAAGAAGTATAGGACTGGGAAGATGGCCTTTTAGGTTGCAGTTTGCAATGGCTATAACATTCAGATGCCCTGCTCTTTTGCTTTTCAATACTTATTTGTAATTCAGACAACTATGATCTTTATCGAGACTACTCCAGTATTTATCCTGAATGTAATAACCTTATTCAGTTTCTGTTGTGTTTTGGTCTTGCCTAGTCCCTCTCAGGCAAGCATATTTCAAGTTCACTGTTGGGACCCGATGTTCTATGCATTCCTCATTTATCTAGATTTATTAGAATAAAACCGAGGCGCTCCGTTGATTATCCGAGGACCAAGCAATCACACGAGCACGACACCGAAATTTGTTAACGAGGTTCACCATCATGGCTATATCCCCGGGGCATGACTACGGGCGCTCCTCCCCATTACACCGTCACAATACCGCGCTGCCGTGGACCCAGCTGTCAGCCTCTCCACGTACATCATTCTTCCGATGGAATTCGGTCATTGACCACATTGACCACGTCGCGCCGACAGCACCACGGCGGTGGCCGACGGCAAGGCCTAGGAAGGGGACGACGCGGAGCCGGGGAAGACGCGGCAGTGGATGTCCACGTGGAGAGGTGTACGAGGGTTCACTAGTTCGACTACGCTGCCGTCGCCGCAGAATAACAGGGGGTGTGGGTGAGTGGAGTGGAGGGATGGCCTGGCCAGTGTTGGGAGTAGTATGGGT